AGAATGATTTCTGAAGGATCGTGTGATTGGAGTAATGATGCTAAAAAATGAGCTTTGAAATCACAGGAATAAATTACATTTTAAAATATTTCCTATTAGAAAGTTATTTTAAATAGTAAAAAATATATTTAGGATCAAATAAATGCAGGCTTGGTGAGCACAAGAGAATTCTTTAAAAAACATTCGTAAAAAACATTGTACTGTTCAAAAACTTTTGACTGGTAGTGTATGTTAGCCTATAGTTTGAAGTTAAAAATATTAATAAGGTGAATCTGAGATGTTTATTTGACAGTGATTTCACATTTCTTGTTTGTATGAAGTCTAAATACAAATAAAAGGTGAACATTAATTTATTTGTGCTGTTTTTTTTCTAGAAAACTAATTAGTTTTATATGAAGAGGTTTCATAGACTTGGCAAATTAATTTTTCATAAGTTTGTAGGTAAAGACATCTGTTGTGGGCGTTCTTGGCAGTTTTAAGGCTTTTTTTAATAGTGTTCATATCGATATCGGAATTATATCGTATCGACTGAAATTAAGAAATATATTGTGATATAAATTTGGCCATATCGTCCAGCCCTAGCACAGCTTTACCACAACTTTAGTTCAGCCCAAATCAGAGAGAAAGCTATTGTTCAAAAAGTCAAGGTGAAACCAAACTGGACCCCATTCACCTTCTCAGACTTATTATACATGATACATTAGTGCACATTACTCAAAAAAAGATTAAGAAGATGAACTTGCATCAACTGCAAAGTCCAAAATAATGCATTGACTTGGACTTATTGTGAATGATGCACTGGTTCACATTACTCAAAAAAAGTTTTCATATTGTTTTTATTAGCCTGCGCCACCTCTCAAACTGCAACATCATCAGGCACTCTTATATTTCAACACCTCAGCTTTATTCTGGAATCAAACGGAACACCCAGTTTTGACAAATACATTTGCAATGAATAAATTAGAGTGCTCCTGTCCAGCATTATTTCTCATTGAATATCCAGTTTCAATTGGAAATGCATCAAATGTTCATGCTGACTTTAAAAGGTTCAAGTACTTGCTTTCACTTTCAAATACTTTGGCAATCAATTCAGCTATTCTCC